TTTTTCCAGGTTGTTGCTTTCTTTTCTTTTCTTTTTTTTTTTTTTTTTTTTTTTTAACTTTTTTAAAATTATTTTTTACATTCAGCTGTAATCCTAAGGCCCAGGTTGTCACCTCAGTTCTGAACTACTAGACGTCACTGAGGGGTTAAAAAGCCCCTTCCCTGCTTCCCAGGACTCTGGCTTATCATGAAAGAATACAACTCAAGTAGAGTCAGACAGAAGCTCTAACTACCAAACCAGGCCTGAGTGTGATAATCACTGATACGGTTTTTATTGCAGAGAGTCGTTTTTTGCAAGGCAAAGATGGAGGACACAGAAGACCAAAGTCTCACTTCTGTAACCTGAGGATAGGGAACAGGGTCATTTGTGATGTAAAGAAACAGGCTGGTCTGAGTCTAGGGAAGAGGAGTGGAGGAATGGGAGGGGAGGAGGGGAGGAGGGAGGGATGGTAGGGGAGGATGGGAAGAGGGGATGGGTGGGAGGGGAGGAGGGGAGGGGAGGGATGGGAGGGGAGGAGGGGAGGAGGTGTGTAAATACTATGTAATTCATGTTCCCACAGTGGTGAGCCCTTGGATATGAGTTGTCCTTGTGACTTGTTTTGGCTTTGAGTAATTAATACGGCAACTAGGACCTTGTACTGACTTGGGATGTGACTCAATGACAGAGCACAATGCAGGTCATCTACAAGGCCTTGGCTTCATTCAATCCCCAGCACTGAAAAAACAAAACACAACACAAAGATGTTGTGCAAGTTCCAGGCCAAGGTCTTAACACAGCAGTGCTTAGCCTTTGGGTCAGATATTTACATCGTGATTCATATCTAGCAAAATTACAGTTATAAAGTAGCAACAAAATACTTTTATGGCTGGGGCTCACCAGAGCATGAGGAACTGTATTAAAGGGCTGTACCATTAAGAAGGTTGAGAACCACTGTCTTAGAGGTCTGACACGCTAGCCACAGGGGCTGAACTCCTGGGGAACCAGGGACACGGTTCACAGTCAAGAGCCAGGCTAACCCCAGCAGCATGAATGGTTGTTCTTTTGTGTCTGATTATGTCTCTCCTCTGTCTCTGTCTATCTTTCTCTTTCCTCTCCCTTCCCCTGCTGTGTGTGTGTGTGTGTGTGTGTGAGTGTGTAGGCCAGGAGATAATCAAATCATTCCTGAAGAGCCACCCCCTGGGTTTCCCCTAACCTGGAACTCACCATAGGCTTGGCTGGCTGGTCAGTGAGCCCCAGGGAGTCTATGTCTGCCTCCCCCGTGATGAGATTACAGGCATGCACCATCTGTCACACCTGGTTACTTTCTGACATGGGCTCTGGGACTTGAACTAAGGTCCTCATGTTTGCAAGGCAGGCAACAATGTCCCAGGGGACCATCTCTGCAGCCCAAGTGGCTTTGATTTCTTACACAGCACGAGGTCACTGGTGAAATGTTCCTGTTCTTTACACCTTCAGTTGTCGCAGTCCCTGGATTTTGATCTACTCTAGTAAGTTTCTGCTGAATTTTTAATTCAATCTTATATTCATCTTAGCATCTCTGGGTGCTTTGCAAAATATGTAAGACAAAGACCATGGTTTACCTATTGCCAGAATTTATTGATAATATCAATCAGATTAAACATGTTCCATAAAATTTTTAAAAAGCTTTAAAAGGCTATAACTGTCAACCATTCTAAGTTGTCTGCATATAAAAATATTAAGCTAAAATCACAATCAGGTAGGTTTTTTTGTGTATATATAATTGTGGAGTAGCACATACTAATGGGTCTCCCAGTAATAACTGCAAAATATAGACAAGATGTAACAAAACAACTATCCAGAGGCACCAGAGAGGGCCAGAGAGCCACAGAAACAAAGGAGAACAGCCCTGAGAGGAGGGTTAGTGGGCGAGACTTGTATTTATAGATGTCTTTCCTGGGTGCATCCCACAGCCATCACGGCGTAAGCCTGTGTGAACTCAGGCAGAAAACAAAGTTTAATTGGTTTTAGGGGTGGAACTTGGTGTAGAAGAGTATCTAAATGGGCATGGGATAGAGGATCCTTAGGGGTAATAGGCCATAGTTATCCCCCCTATCTGTTTATAATGTTCAAGGTGTACATAGCTCAGTGGTAGAAACAGAACTTGCATACCAATATTCCAGGCTCTTCTTCAGTCCTTTATTCCACAGGCAATAATAATAATAATAATAATAATAATAATAATAATAATAATAATAATAATAGTAACACGGGTCAAATCTTTGACTGAGGAAAAGAATCAAAATGCAACAGAAAATCTCCACCCCATCAGCAGCACAACTGTAGGAGAGCAAGACTGGCTGGCATGTAAAGATGGTTATCAACTTAGTAGGTGAAAGTCTGAGGGAAAACAATATTCGCCTAATCTAATAAGAAGCTCCAAATTGTTAGTTACGAATTTGAATAACAATACCAAACAATACTGTTTACACAGAGAAAAAAGCAATCACAAGAAACCTCCAGGTGCCTCATCTCAAAGCACACACAAGCAGTGAAGACCATGTTTGTCCCTTACAAGAGGACTGAGGGACACACCACCTCTGGGGTGCTCTTGTTAAATGTGTGACCCCAATACTTCTGGCTAGGACATTGGGAAAAGCTAAATCAAAGGTATCCAACAAAATGGCTTCCTGGTCTCCTTCAGAGGGGTCCAAGCTGGGAAGGTGAGGGGATGCTAAAGAGATGGACGCCTCGCTGCACCATGGCATTCTGGGTTGGATCTTGGAAACATGGGTTCCTCATTCTTGAACTGCAAGCACGTTAGCGGCGGAGCCATTCCCCTGTCCTCTAAAGTGTGACATGGTACCAGCCATGTGTGTATGAATTGAACCTTGTAGGTTTTCTTCTCCAGAAGTTCGCCTAGGCCATCAGACACCTTGACTCTTGGGGTGTACCACCAAGATTTGGGGGTAGGGACTGGGGCTCAGGGTCCAAGGAGAGGTTCTCAGGGAATTCTTGGACTTTCCTACCACTCATCAAGTTTACATAGTAAGTCTATGCATTGGATTTAGCAGGTCAGGTGGGGGGGATTCCACATCCTTGGGTGGGGATTTTAAACTGAGGAGTTGTAGATATTTACCTTTCCACCCTCTTGTTCTCCTTCCTTAATTTTCAACTGAGCATAATTTAATTAGGTCAGTTTGAGAATTTTGCTTCTGTCTAATGGATTACTGACGGTTAAAGTGAACTTATTGGTGTGACAATATTCTAGATTTAAAGAATGGGGGGGGGAGACACAATCAAACAACTCCTCTCACCTTTTGGCATTAGAGAAAACAATATCCCCATAAAGGTTGATGCTCTGAAATAGCAATGCATACTTATATTAACAAGTGCCTCCAGGACCTCAACTGCTAGTTGTTCCTTTCCAGTTAAAATGGTAACCAAGCTATGGATGGAGACACTGTTCATTCTAGGTGTTTCTGTGGGCGAAGGGAGCAGCTTTCCTAGAAGGGGAGGGGTGTGCTCAGTAGCTAACAGTCCAGGCTCTCATAAACCTCTGCCAGTTTCTCAGCTGTTGCTTGTGAACCCTGTGGACCTCAGCTTTTTCATCGAGATGCATTAGTGAAGACGTGGGTCTCCCAGCTCTGTTGTATTGTGGATGGAGTTAGTGAAAACCCTATGCTCTCCCTCCCTAATGGCTTCTAACTTTCTCCAGAACTGAGGCCTGGGAAATTGTGATTCCACTCATCAAATAGAAGAAAGAGAGAAGAAATACTATTTAAAGAATGTCCTGCCAAACAGTGTGTTTGTTGTGCATGCCTTTAATCCCAGCACTTGGGAGACAGAGGCAGCACTTGAGTTGGAGGCCAGCCTGGTCTACAGAGCGAAGAGACCCCCTGCTGCAGCCCTCCAATGCTGTCTGGCTGTAGTCTTAGCATCAGAGTTGGAGGCTAGGGATCTGTTTGTCATATCGAAGTATTTATGTAAGTCTCAAGGATGTGGCCTTACACAGGGGAGGGCGATACATGACCATGCAAGGAGACTAAAGATAACCCCAGATAACTGGACTCTGAACGTCACAGCATCCCCACCTTCCCTCAGTTGGCCTGTGTGGTCTCTGCCTCTTTTCGGGGGTTTTCTGTCATAATTCCAAGATCCCTGGTGGAGGCAGGAAATAGCAGCCATTTCCAAACACTCTAGAACCCATGCTTTGCTGAACTTGGTAGGGTGGGAGGGAAGAGAAGGAAAGAGAGCTCAGAAAGAGAAAAAAGAAAGTTCAAGAAGAAACGAATGGCTGAGGCCTTGACTGTTTTGCTGGAAGAATTGTGCATTGATTTTTATTTACATTCATTTAAGGGGGACATGCAAATGTTGGAGGTCAGAGGACAACCTGGGGTCCATACTTTTTTTCCTGGGAGTCGAACGCTGAGCACCTTGAGCCTCTGAGTCATCCCACCACCCTGAGTTACGGATGCTCACATGTGCAGCTAAGGAAAATGAGAAATTAGTAGCTGCTGATTACAATCAGACAGATTTTAACTGCATGCACTTCCTAACACATGCACACCAGAATGACAATAAGATGTGATTGTAGGTCCCCAGAGGCAGGTGGCTGGCTTCTCTAGTAGGCACGTTTGATTGCAGGGGAGGAGGGGATCCAAATGGTACCCAAGGCTGCCTTCCCTGACCAGCTGGCACCAGGAGAATAGCACACTGTGCCCTCAGCCCCCCAAGGACCTTCTGTCACCAGAAAGAGCTGTTCTTGGGTGACACAACCCACTGCAGGATAAGCCAGGGTGGTATTTTTATCTGCGTTCCAGATCCCTGTAGACCAGGCTGGCCTTGAACTCCTGAGCACCACCACCGCCCAGCTCCGCTAACCCAGCGCAGGGCGTTTCCGCTCGTGGCCAGGGTGGGGAAGGGCCAGGTGAGCGACTGCTCATCTGAGACCCTCACCTTCCTCAGTGGTTGCAGAGGGGCTGAGATGCACTCAGACATCGCTCTCGATGCACCACCGCTCAGCTTTCCAGCCTAGCGAGATGCAGGCTCGGGAGGACGCAGGGGCAGCGAGCTCAGCTCGCCCCGGCAGGACGACGAGCATGCGCATTAGCCGCCACCGGCCCTCAGGCCCCACCCACCCCCCGACCGGAGCCCCGCCTCCTGGTCGCCGCGCGTGCGCAGCCGTGCTTTTCCCGTGGGTCCCTGGGGCGCGGCAGATTCGTAATTGCAGGCGGCCTCTCGCTCGCTCGCTGCGAATCCCGCCTGCTTCTCGTGCAAGTAACCGCCAGGGCGAGGGGAGCGGCTCCCGGAACACTCGAGCCGCCACCGAGCGGCTCCACAAGTGGGCGAGCATGTCGGACGCGGCGGAGGCGGAGGCGGAGCGCGGCGGCCCGAAGGCGGCGGCGGAGGCCGGGGAATACCCGCTGGTGTTCCTGTGCGCGCGCTGTCGCCGGCCGCTCGGAGACTCGCTCACCTGGGTGACCAGCCAGGAGGACAGCAGCTGCATCCTCTTGCGCTGTCAGTGGGGGCCGCGGTCCCGGTGGGGGGGCGGTCTCCCTGCACGCAGGGTCTCCCCGGGGTCGCAGGGACGGGCCCGGAGCAAGCGGGGAGCAGGGGTGGCGTTCCTGGCCGCGGCGCGCGAGTCTGCCACCCTGGGAGGCATCGACCTAGCTAAGTGTCTCTTGGCCAGCATCCGGGACCATGCAGGGACACGGGGACCGGAAAATGAGTTCATGCCATGCTGAATGGCCAGACGAGTAAGGCGATCTCCGTATGGGTGATCCACCCAGGCGGCCTCTTGACAGAGGCTTGGCATTGCCACCATTAATTTGGACAGCCTAAAATTGGGTTGAGGTGTTTGTCTGTTTGTTTGTTTGTTTGTTTTGAGGCAGGGTTTCTCCGTGTAGCCCTGGGTGGCCTGGAACTCACAGAGATGCGTCTGTCTCGGCCTCCCAAGTGCTGGGACTAAAGGCGTGCGGCTGAGATTTTTTTGATATAGTAAAATAATGGGTTTATTTTGTTTATGGCTTTTAAAGAAATAACATTAAGTCTTTTGCACTCCCCCCATGTTTATAGCTTTACTATCTTTATTTTTTTAATCCTCTTGGGTTTTTCTCTATTTATTATTGAGCTATGCATCCCCGCATCCCCGCCCTCACTTCTCCTCCCCTCCCACCTTGCCCTCCTCGCTCCCAATTTGCTCAGGAGACCTTGTCTTTTTCCCTTCCTTGGCCGATCTATGCTATGCGTGTCTCTCTTAGGGTCTTTTTGTCACCTAGGTTCTCTAGGGTTGTGGATTGTAGGCTGATTGCTGTTTGCTCTTTGTCAAATATCCGTAAATGAGTAAGTACATACCGTGTTTGTCTTTCTGTGACTGGGTTACCTCACTCAGGATGGTTTCTTCTACTTGCATCCATTTGCCTGTGAATTTCAAGATTCCATTGGTTTTTTTTTTTTTTTTTTTTTTTTTTTTTTTTTTTCCTGAGTAGTACTTCATTGTGTAAATGTACCACATTTCCTCTATCCATTCTTTGGTTGAGGGTTATCTAGGTTGATTCCAGGTTCTGGCTATTATGAATAATGCTGTTATGAACATAATTGAGCAAATGTCCTTGTGGTGTGAGTGTGCATCCTTTGAGTTTATGCCAAAAAGTGGTTTTGCTGTGTCTTGAGGTAGATTGATTCCCAGTTTTCTGAGGAACCCCCATACTGATTTGCTTTCTGTATGTAATAATACTGTTGTTAGGCTTTAAAATATAACTGGTATAAAACTAGATGAGTTTATTTATCCCCACATTAGTAACCCTCAGTAATTCACTGGGATCACCCCTTTGCACCCATTCAACAATGCAGGAGGGGTGTAAATGTGTTTTTTAAAAGATTAATTTTTAGGTTTAGCAATGGTGGCCCACGCCTTAGATCCCAGCACTTGGGAGGCAGAGGCAGTCGATCTCAGTGAGTTGGAGGCCAGCCTGGTCTACAAATTGAGTTCCAGGACAGCCAGGGCTACACAGAGAAACCTTGTCTTAACTCCCCCCAGATTAATTTTTAGAATAATTCTGTTGTTAATAATAATTAACTTTCAGATTAATTTCTATTCCCTCTTGCCCCATTGGAATGTTTTATTTAGTTTTATTCCCATTATGACATTTACAAATTCAGGGTTTTTTTCTGTTTTGAAATGGGGATCTTGCTGTTTGCTAGGATAGCTTTGAACTAATGATTCTACCTCAGCTTTCTAAGTAGTGAGCATTACAGGTATGTACCCTGCACCTGCCTCAACCTTAGATTTTATTTTATAGCCACAACATGGTGATTTAACTTTCTTACTATATTTATAAACTCATTTCTCAACCCCAGCAGTTTTATTGACACACTAAAAACATAGTGGCTGGAGAGATGATTCAGGCAGGGGTCAAGAGCAGATGCAGAGGATCAGGGTTCAGTTCTCAGCACTGGCGGGCTGGTTTGCAACTGCTGCTAACTCCAATTGCAGGGGAACTGATGCCATGATGCATGCAGGCAAAACACTCAAACAAACTCATTAAAATGAAAAAAAAAGTGTAATCTATTTAATCACCCACCTATGCCTTTCCAGTCCCTAAGAAATGTTAAGTCTGGGTGCTGAAGATCTCTTTTTACACATAGATGTTAACTTGGGTCCTGTCCCCTCCCCTGGGGGGATCCAAAGGGTCTCAGGCTTGTGTTGCCAAAGTGTAGACTAAAGACCAGCTTTGGGAAGGGACCAGGAAGTAAAGGGACTTATAGACTGTTAAGAGCAGGAAGCCATCAGGCTTGAGCTCCAGGCAGAAGAGCATGAGTAGGCTCTTCTGGAACAAGCAAGTAGAAGCTCCTGGAGAGTGGTGCTGATGTTTCAGGCTCTAGTAAGCAGCTAGCTTGGCATGATACCCAGAGCTCTGTAAAAATCAAGATGAGCACATAGTACATCTCACCTTCTCATCTAATGTGCGCATGGGGATTACTAAGGCACGCTGTGAAGGGGGTGAAATGGAGAGGTTGCCTTGACCATTTTACTAAATGACGGGGGCTTCTTTATTTCCCTCTGGTAATGTTTTGTACTGCTTCTCTGGTGCAGCCTCGAGGTGCCCAAGCGAAAGATGCCTGGTGGCTAGGGACTGTTTAGAGAGAGGAGCTCTGTGTTGGATCTGGGGGTACAGGGATGACCGTGTTCCTTGGCCTGGGCCCTGATTTCACTCTACCTGATAGTTGTTCTTTATAGTTTGTAGCTTTTGATTCTCACAGTCCCTGATAATTTTCTTCATTTTATTAATACTGTCAGTTTTCAGAGAAGGCCCCTGCATCTTTAGTGTTGAACCGTGTATCCCCCCACCCCCCGGTCTGTGGGCTCCTCTTACTTTCCTAGTCCTCTGAGTTCTGAAATAAAAGTTAAAGTTGAATTAAATGATCTGTGTCTTCAGGTGCACTGCAGCAAACCACACTCAAAAGCGCTGCTGCTCTCTTGCAGGTGTTTCCTCCAATGTGTCTGTGGATAGAGAACAGAAGCTGTCCAAGTGCAAAGATGAAGATGGGTGGTAAGTGAGGTGTTTTTGTGATTTCATACCAGGGAAAACATTGAATTTTGAGGAGAAGTCTTCCACCACTCTGTGAGATTGCTTGTGATATAACTTTTCAAGGTAACTGAACACATAAAAAGTAAAAATCCATCATACAGCGGGGATAGCCCCTTTAGATAGGAGAGTGGACTTTTCTAAGTTTCTGAAGGTGTAGCTACCACAGACTTTAGGGCCTTAGGTTTGATGCTGAAGAAAGTGGGACGTAACATAGAACATATCTATCTTACAATCTCACAGTCTGAGGCGCTCTTGCCAGTGCTGCCGGCCTTTGCCCTGTCCTGGCACAGACAGGACACACTGACACAGAATCCCCATCCACCGCTGACTGGGTACGGATGGGCCATCTGCCATAAACAACCAGTCCCAGTCCTGGACAGCAGGCCTAGGTGGGTGTGTGTCTCTTCTGGTCCTCTCTCTTTCCTCATCAGTCCACCGGGGTTCACTCATGGGGCTCCTCCGTGATGGCCTGTCCAGTCTCAGTCACCTTCTTGAGACACCAGTTCTGAAGGCTGTGCACCGGGAAGACAGACCACGTTCTAACAATACCAACATGAGAGAGGGCTCATGTGAGCTCTTGTACGGTGTGGTGATGGATACAGATTATCCGTTTATCAGTATATCCTAGAAGATCAAATCTCAGGTTTTTCTAAATCCTTCTTCTTGATTAACAGTCTTGATAACGTGTTGTAGCCTCATGATTATGCAGTTTGATATATATAGTGTGTAGATTTGCCTGTTCAATGTTAGTAGTGTAGGTGGGGTTTTCTACTTGGGATCTACTAAGATGTTTTATTTTTCTTTAAAAATTTATTGTTTTCTGTCCGTACATGTTTTGCCTGCATGTATCTGTGTGCACCACATGTGTGCCTGGTGCCCACAAAAGTCAGTAGAGGGTGTCAGAGCCCCTGGAACTACTGTGTGGGTGCCAGAAAACAAGCCTGGCTCTCTGGAAGAGTAGCAAGTACCCTTACTCACTGTACCATTCAGCCTTCTTAAAAAGAAAAGGCTTTTATTGTATTATTATGTTGTGTGTGTGTGTGAGTGTGAATGTAGTGCAGCAGAGGCCACAAGAGGGCTTTGGATCCCGTGCTGATTTTTTATGCCAACTTGACAAAATCAACCAAGAGGAGGGACCCTGAATTACGAAAATGCCTCCCCAGGGGGTGGTGGTAGTATCGTACACTTTTATTCCCAGCACTTGGTAGGCAGAGGCAGGCAGATTCCCTATGAGTTAGAAGCCAGCCTGCTCTACAGAGCAAATTCTAGAACAGCCAGGGCTACACAGAAAAACCCTGTTGTTGTAGTTTAAGAAAAGCAGCTCTCGAGAGAAAGACGCCATGTTCAAGCAGGGTTCAAGCAGAGTGTTTTGGTTTTTTTGGTGTTGTTTTGTTTGTTTGTTTGTTTGTTTTAATTAGGGAAAGAGATCATGAAAAGGTTAAAGGGGGAGTGAGAATGAAGGAGCAGCAGGAGAGATGGGAGAGAGAGGAAGGAGGGGGGAGAGAGGAACACAGAGAGGGAGAGAAAGAGGATGGGAGGTGGGAAGGGCCCTTTGAAAAGGGAACACAGTGAATGTGCACAGGTGGTGCTCTCAGTGGCTGGAGCTGAGGGTGTACCCTGTCAGAACCCCAAGGACAGGCCAATACAGGTGCCTGAACACTAACGCCTTCCTTGATGACTTCTAAAGCAGTTTCTTCCTCCAGACTCCTGTCTTCCTTGAGTTACTACCCTGACTTCCTTCAGGGATGGATATGGAAGCATAGACCAGCAACACCTTTTCCTCGTCAGGTTGCTTTGGTCATGGGTACAGCAATGGAGACCCTGACTAAGGCAGCTCCCCGTGAAGGTGGACTTACAGGTAGAATGAACTGCTGTGTGGGCTCTGGGAACCTAACTCAGGTCCTCTGCAAGAGCTTATACCAGCCCATCTCCCCAGCCCCAATGTACACATACTTTTATCTCTTAGGAGAAAATCTAGAAAAAGTAGCAGGTTACCTAGGTAATTATGTCACTAGTGAACGCTCACCAGGTGCTAATCTCTGTTCCTTATGTTGCTGCTGAGAATAAGAAGCATCTGAGTGTCTAGGAGGATGGCAATGCCATCTGTCTTGCTGTGCCTGACTCTTAGGTGACCTGCTTGGGTAGGACAGTGAGAAGAGATACTTAGTGAGGACAGGCCCAGAGAGAAGCAGGAGTTAAAATACTTTTGAAATAGTATTCCTTTGTGGTGTGTATTTAAGATCTATGAACCCGGTAATGGTGAATGGGACTGTAATTGTCTTGGTGCTTTAGACACACTAAGCTTAATCTGGCAAGGCTTTTGGGAGACGTTGGGTTGTAAGAACATTTTAAAGATGTGAATGGGCAGGGGTGGAACAGGAGCCGAGAAAACTGGGGGGTGGTTATGTGAAGATAATGGAAAATTAAGTGAAACGATGTGAGTCGCCTGTATTGGGCATATCTCTAGTCGATAGTAAAGTGTTTGCGTCAAAATATGATGTAAGGGACAAGACAGTTGTAGCAGGGGCAGTGAATTCCTGTCAGTGACGAATTTAACTAGCTGGGTGGAGGGAGGGAAAGGCATGGGCCCCAAAGGAGACTTATTTGCCAAGGGACAGAGGGCAGGGAGTAAGAGATAAACCCAGGAGATAGAGGATGAGGAATGACCAGGAAGGAAGGGATTGTGGAAAGTGGGAAGGGATATTTGTCCTGGCTGTGGCGGTCAGGGGGAGGATAACAAAGGACCGCCCCTGGATTAAGAGGCGACAGATGTGCCATGTGGGAAAATAAATGGCAGTCTCTAGTACAAGAGGAGCCACCTTAGGAAGGCGTTTACTTTTATATTTATTTATCTTGTGCATTGGTGTTTGCCAGCCTGTCTGTGTGAGGGTGTCAGATCCTCTGAAACTGGAGTTACAGACAGTTGTGAGCTGCCATGTGGGTGCTGGGAATCGAACCCGGAACCTCTGAAAGGGCAACAAGAGCTCTTTACTGCCTAGCCATCTCTCCAGCCCCTGAGGTGTTTCCTTTTAATTGGGCATGTTAGTTAGGTGAGCCAAAGGGACCCTTGATTGCTGGACTTCAGTACTTTCATGGCTGACCTTGGTAGTCAGTCTCAGGGGAGAAGTGGCCAAGTAAGGGTATAGACCTTGGTGGCTAGCCTCAGGAATGCAGTCTGATGTTTTTAGCAAGGCAGAGGGAATGGGAGGGAGGGCAAAGCCTGCCAGAGCCATGCCTGCCACACTGGTGCTGGCCAGAGTCCCTGCACTGGCTGTGGTGACACACACCTATAGCCCCAGCACTTGGAAGATCAGGCGTTTAAGACTTGATAGCATAGAGGCATAGCAAGTGTAAGGCTAGCCTGGGGTCCATGAGAGCTTGTGTCAAGAGGGAAACCCTAAAGGTGTATTGAACTATTAATGAGGCAGAGCTGCTCCTGGGTGGGAACTGCTTTTCGGACAAGTGTAGTTGAGGGTGCATGGGCAGCACAGCCTGACCTTTGCAGCTTCCTTTTCTTTTACATCCCAGCCAGACATTATTTGCAGCCAATCTTTCCACAAACTTTCTCCCAAAGTCTGCAAACTACTTGCCCCCCCCACTGGAGCAGAGTTGCAACTGGTGTGGGGGCTGGGCATGTGTTTGTTTCTTGGTTTTTCAAGATAGGGTTCCTCTATATAGCCCTGACTGTTCTGGAACTCACTCTGTAGACCAGGCTGGCCTCAGATTCACAGAGCTCCACCTGACACTGCTTTTTGAATGCTGGGGTTAAGGTGTGTGCCACCACTCCTTGACTGTGTTGTGTGGCTGTGTTTAGAGGAGCAGATCGTTGGGTTCTGTGTGTCTGACTGCTACAGTACAGAGTTGGTGCTCACATCAGACCCCTGGTGGCCTGAAAGCCTACAGTACTCAGTCTCTGTTTGATTACAGGGAAACTGCCTACCTTCCTACCTAGAGAGTTAGTGACCCTTGATGACTGGTTGGACATTTTAAAGGATGTGCAGACTCTTTCTGTTGCTTTCCCAGAATTTAAATAGTTTGTCTTAATACCAAATCAAGGAGTCTGGAAAAACCCTGCCTTGGCATTTTGTTTATGTTCCTTGTCATCTGTTGTCTGAAGTGGTGTGGCGTGGCCTAGAGCTGACTGTTTGCATTTCTCCTGCAGTCATCTTACCATCTTATCATCATTCATACACACGCACACATACGCGACTGAATGAAGTTGATTGTAGTGGTGCGTGCTCACCCCAGCATTTGCCATGGGAAGATGAGGGAGGGGATAAACGACTGCCAAAAGTTTGAAGTTGGGGTGGGCTACATAGTGATACCCTGTCTCAAAAAAAAAAAAAAAAAAAACCCAAAAACCAAAAGGGAACAATAGGAACATAGCTTCTTTTCACTTGAAGCAACTTGGGGCTTATGGAGTTTATTTTAATTTTTATTTGTTTAAATCGTGTGTGTGTGTGTGTGTGTGTGTGTGTGTAGGTCAGGGGACAACTCTCCTTTCACATATGGGTACTGGGTATCAGTCAGGCTGTCACACTTATCAGCAAGCACCTTTACCTGCTGAGCCGTCTTGCCATCCCTCAGCTTGTGGATTTTAGCAGTCATGCACATTGCTACTCTCTCCTTAAGTGGTGTTGTGTCTTTATTGCAGCATTCTTGAGACTCTGTCCTGTACAGGCTGCTCCCTCAGACTTGGCTATGTGTACAAATGCCCTCCCAAGAGCCTAGACTACAAGAGGGACTTGTTCTGCCTCAGCGTAGAAGCCATTGAAAGGTAGGTTTGATAGATGCGTGGCTGCATTGTGACTGATTTCTTAGTTAGGTTTGCAGAAGTTAGTATGAGAACAACAGAACATATTTTTGAGTAATAATCTCTGACAGTAAAGCCAGTCACCCTTTGTGTCTAATTCATTTGGTATTGTGAAAGTCAGACACTGAGTTGTAGGAGAAACTGTGAGACATTTTTTAAAAGTAAAACTCAATTGAGTTTTGGTTTTTTTTTTTGTTTTTGGGTTTTTTGAGACAAGGTTTCTTTATGTAGCTCCAACTCCCCCTAGAACTCCCTCTGTAGACCAGGCTGGCCTGGAACTCAGAAGACCCGCCTGCCTCTGCCTCCTGAGTGCTGGGATCAAAGGTGTGCCCCCACCACCACTCACCTTAATATCTTAAATTTTTACCCTTAAAAAATTTAAAACAGTAATTTTATCCGGTTACTAATTGATAACTTTGTATTTGGCATCTTTTAAAACCAGACAAGTTTAAAAAAATGTTTAAGATCCACAAACCAACTCACATGGAAAACTCACTAAGCAGGCAATGCTCCATGTTACAGAGCAGAGGGCCAGGTTCCAGACACGTGAGATGCTCACCAGCGGCAGTGACAATGAACAGAGGTGCATGTTTATATAAGAGGGTTACTTCACCGAGTGTGGTGACCCGCCTACAACCATAGCGCCACAGAGGCTGGGGTCCTCTGGGGGGGGTGTTCTAAAGTTTAAGGCCAACTGGGTTACCCAGTAATGATAAAACGGAAGACACAAATCATTTTTATCCAGTAGTGTTGGAACAAACCCCCTCTCTTTTTTGTTTTGCTTTAGGGTTTTTGAAACAGGGTCTCGTTATGTAACCCTGACTTGCCTGGACTTTGTAGTATAATCCAGGCTAGTCTTGAACTCTTAGAGATCTACCTGCCTCTGCCTGCTGAGAGACATGCACCACCACAGCCGACTTTCTTTTTAGGAAGGAATGGTTTATTTGGACTCAGACTTTGAGGATACAGTCAGTCAAGGGGGGAGCTGGACGCAGCTGGCCACACTGCATCTCAGTAGACAGATGAATTCCCAGCTCACTTTGCTGTTCTCAGATGCTTCTACGATTGACTTGGAGTCAGGGGAGGCTCGTGAGCTGCTATATGGGTGCTGGGGACTGAACTCAGCTCCTATAGGAACAGCAAGTATTGGTTCTTAACTACTTAGAATTGTAAGTAGTTAACCCTGAGATGCCCAGCTCTTGATAATTATTGTTACTTATTAAATCATTACCTATTCAAAGTCACATAAAACAAGCTTTGGTGTCTTAGGTTGCTCTGCCTCGCCTTCTTGCAGCAGTGAAATATTTATGACGGAAAGTGAATGTGTGGGGTTACCTGGACAGTGTCATTAGTGAGGGGTGAGATTACGTGGTACAGCGTCCTCAGGTCCCCACGGACAGAGAACACTGTCTTCATACCTGGGGCGTGGAGTATGACCTCAGAGTTGGTATTGGTAGCTGCTATGGGGTTGGGGCTAGTTCATGCTCATACGTGAACTCACACTGTACTGCATCTCAGTTACACTTTAGGGTCCTCTGAAAAGCAAATCGTGCCAGATGACAAGGAGCTTTTCAATCTGGAGAACAGGATTGAGATAGAGAAGTCTATAAAGCAGGTGAGTTTACTCTCCATTTATGTCCCCCTCCTCATGACCCTGTGAGCCAGGCTTTAGCACTTGCCAGTGAGAAAGTGCTCGCCCGCATTAGGGAGTGGAGCCTCGAGCTGACACTCTGAGCCCTGAACCCATTCCAGCTAAGATCAAACACTACTCATGCAAACCAGAAATGTAGCCTTGAGCAAGCAATACTGAAATGTGTCTGGGGGCCTGTGTGCTGGCCTGCATGCTTGCATGTGCACCATGTGCTTGGCCTCCATGTGTGCTGCGTGCACCACGTGCTTGGCCTGCATTTTGGTTGTGCACCGTGTGCTTGGCCTGCATGCATTCACATGCACTGTGTGCTTGGCCTGCGTGTGTGCATGTGCACCGTGTGCTGGCCTGCATGCATTCACATGCACTGTGTGCCTGCGTGTGTGCATGTGCTCTGTGTGCTTGCCCTGCATGTGTGCATGTGCACTGTGTCCTTGCCTGGTGCCTGTGGAAGTTGGGAAAGGCTGTCGGATCCTAGGTCAGGTCTCAGGGTTGACCCAAGGTTTTCAGGCTCAGCAGTGGCAGCTGCCTTTGCCTGGTATTTGTCTCATTGCTGAATATGAATGTTTCTTGAGATGGACAGGATGGTGAATTCCTGTGTAGCTGTAGATTGTGGGTTGGGTTATGACTAAAGCTAATAAGATTATATCTTATTCAATTTAGATTCGCTTCTCTTAGAGTTTTGTTAGGCCTAACATCTTTATGTCACCAAAACATTGAAAATGGCATGAATTATTTTTAATCGTTAACCTATGAGTAATTAATCATGCCCACATTGTGTTCTTCATGCCTTTTCCACTGGGTAGATGGAAGATGTTCTGAAAGCCTTGGAGATGAAGCTGTGGGAGGTGGAGTCCAAACTGCCCTTTGCTGGCCACTGCAGCTGAGCTGCGCTCCGGGCCCCACCCTGCCCCATCCTTGCTCCCAATGTGTGTATTTCAGGGGAAAAGTCACTCACTGTTTCTTGTATTTGGATTTTAAAGCCAGTTTATGATACATGCTGGAATGGAATTTTGTGAGTTCTTATTTTCATAAAAAACCACGATGGTTTTTCTGTCTTTTTTCCTGTTAAATTCATTGTATTTGTTCATTTTTCTAGTTTGTAAAACTTTGTCACTTTTAATACTTTGTATAAGCCAGGCAGTGGTGGTGCACACCTTTAATCCCAGCACTCTGGGAGGCAGAGGCAGGTGGATTTCTGTGAGTTTGAGCCCAGCCTGGTCTGCAGAGCTACACAGAGAAACAGTGTCTCAAAAAATAAAAAAAACAAAACAAAACAAAAAAAGACTTTGTATACTTATGAATGATTAGTAGGGAAATCATCTTGGGTAAGATTTTAGTGGAATGTATTAGATTGGGACTTTTTATAATGTAAAACTTCTATAAGTAACATGCATTACTTTTATAATAAGAAGAGAATAAAGACTTTAAAAAGTGCTTGAAGGTTCATTTGTTTGCTACCAAACTAAATTGATAATTAAGTGAGATAAAAACAATTCTGGGGCCCTGAAATCCACACACTCACTGAGCATGCACTGTGCTCTGCTCGGCCCAGAGCCCTTTCTAGGCACAGATGATGCTTGTCACGGGACCCTGTGGGACTCACTCCCTCAGTCCCTGGTCAGTTGTTCCTGAAGCATTCTGAAAACACTAGTGTTACAGCAAGTGAACTGTAGGTATGCCCCTAGTGACTGAAAGGTTTTTTGGGTGCATTCAGAGCCAACTGTGACAGATGTATGAGCTCCACCTTCAGTGATTTTATTTGACAGTTAAATGCATTTGTCAAACAGAAAATGGGCCATGGAAGCGCCTGTGGTGTGCAGGAGCTGATGTCTGAAATGTTGAGAAATACCTGAGCTGCAGGCTAAACCACCAGCAGCTTGAAGTTGGGCAGGGAGGGGTTGTGAGTATTACCAGAGAAATTGACAGGTACTGAAAAAATCGGGTTTCCCTCTTCCTTCTGAGCCGCTTTCCTAACAATGTAGTCCATTTCCGTCTGGCTCCATCCCATCTAACTTAGCATCAAGAAGAAAATACTTCAACATCAAGAACCATTCTTAACATCTCATTTGTTAAGTGAAAAAAGGGAGTCTTACAACCACAGGGTGATAGCTGCATTCTTCATTTTGCCAGAGAAAAAGCAAAAGACTTGGCGAGTGACTTGGAATCTTACATAGTTGCTGTCATATACATCATTTTTACTTTCCCTGAATAAGAAAACTGGTCAGCATCTGTAAACAGGCAGAGGAAGTGCTTGCCATCTCTGCTGGACTGGGGCAAAGGGTAATTTACCCTTCATCTAACCACACGTGTGGGTCCTCAGTCTTCGAGTGGTGCCCTTTCCCATGTGTGCATGCTTGTTCGAATGTGTGTTCATGTGCGTGTGTGTGTGTGTGTGTGTGTGTGTGTGTGTAAGCTGGAGGTGGTGTCTTCTGTCTTCCTCTACATTATTTTTTTGAGACAGGGTCTTAACTTGGAGCTTGATAATTTGGCAGGACTGGCTGTCTTTGACCCCAGGGGAACCCTCCATCTGCTCTGGGGTCACAGGTGTGCACTGTTGGGCCAGCTGTGCGTGCGTGTGTGTGTGTGTGTGTGTGTGTGTAGATAAATCAGAGGACAGCTTTCAGGAATTGGTGAGTTCCTTCTACTGTGTGGGCTCTGACAATCCTACTGGGTCTTGAGGCTTAGAGGCAAGTGTCGTTACTAATTGCGCACCTTGTCAGCTCTGCCTACCTGTTGGTTTAGCCAGGTGCTGCTTTGCATCTGACTGGCTGAGCTTTTGTTCATAGGTGTGCTGTGTCTCACTTGTCCCCTTTGAGGCCCTCCAGCATCCTCTTCGTGACTGCAGATTGCCCAGCAGTGGTGGTCATCATTCCTCAGTTAATCACTGGCTTCACAACCTTGATAATGTTCTAGACTTGGGAAACTGTCCCTTCTACACTTAAGAGCCTGCAGCCTCTTCTGAGAACTGGAAGTGTCAGACCTTGGACACTGAATGGAGGTAATTAATAATATTTTTTTTTAAGAACAGGACTGTTTTTATCCTGTTTATTTGTTCATCAGTTACAGGGATAAGTGGTACCACCTGCAAAAGCTAAGCCTGAAAAACAGTTGTCTCGGTTCCCCTTCATATTTTAGGGTTAACGTATAAGAATAAAGAGAAACGATAGCATAGCGTAGGGCTTAGCATAAAATGTTAACTATGAGTATGAATTCAGGGGGAAATTACCAAGCTCATTTACATGTCTAATTGCCCACCTGTGATCACTCTGCTGTTGAGTCTATTCAGGTTCCTACACAAGTTAAAAATACTTCCTATTAAAATTTGTTTTTTTCTAAGTGAATGCAATGGATTCTTAGAATTGGAGGTGAAAATATGAATATTTGAAATAGGACTCTGGTCACAGTGGGTGATCTCTCTGTGTGCCAAGTGTGAGTGAGAAGCCCAGCAGACAGGCCTCCCTCGGCTAGCGATTTGCAGGTGTGCAAATCTCAGAGGGAATGCGGAGGTAAATAGGCCAGACATCGTCCTATGGCTCCCAGTGGCAGGAGAGTCAGCTATAGCTTTGTTCATGTAGCGCCCACAGGGCACAGACATCCCAGCCTGAAATGTTGCCCCACTGATAGGAAGGCTCCCGAGTTAGGGGGTGAACTCTGCTCCCCTACAAGGATGCCCTTCCCCGGAGGAGGACAATCTCAGGATCTCAGGTTTGCAGGAAGTGGTCCCAGGGTCTCAGCATTGTCAAGGATTGTACCACCCCACAACCTTGCCTGGGCTGGGAAGACAGGAGCCTAAGGGGAATGCCATCCTGGGGCATACAATCCCCAGAGTGAAGATCTGTGCTGGGGTGTCCCACGTGGCAGGGGCCTCCCTCAGTCCTGGAGCAGCTCAGGGTGGACACCTCCATCTCAGAGGCTTCAGAGACCAGGACTCAGGCCTTCCCTGCAATTCATGGCCGGGAATGTGTGTTTCCTGAGACCCTGATGGCCCTCATGTCGGTCACCAATGTGCCAAGTGAGCTGGGGCCCCGCACTGTCCACTTTATCTCTTCTGTGTACAGTAGATTAGTGTCCCTTAGGTGGAACTAGATTTATTTTTCTTCCTGAATCAGACCACAGGGGGCCGCATTTCACCACATAATATTCACTATGTCTGGCTACTCACTAGCACCTCACCCAGGACAAACTGAGTGGCTGCTGGACCCCTTCCAACCAACCTGCGAATCAGAAGCTTGTCTGGTAAATAGCGCAGACAGGGCTTCCCAACCCCTTCAAACCCCACCCCACTCCACCTCCAATCAGATTACTACCAGTTTTCATCTCGTCCCTAAAATTGTTTCCTCCTACGTTCCCGAAAGCAGTCCTGGTTCCCACGCACAAGGACTATGAAGTTTTGTCCTAACTGGGGCACATTACGCAGCGGAAGAGGAAACTTAATGAATAAGCAGCATGATGGACACACGCACACTGTCCCTGTCATCCACGTGTTTGGCACCCCCTCATCTCCCCCTTAACTTCACAGTGGGAGCCTCCTTTGAACAAATGCGTTCTCAGCCAGTGGAGTTGGAAGATTTCTGAGCTTGTGATAAAGCCTGTCCTCTGGGCTGCTGGATAAGATCTAGTCAGACAACTGGAGCAGAGAGGGTGCCACAGCAGCTCTGAGGGTCAAACAGAGTAAAGAGAGAAGGCTCTGCAGTGCAGGCTCCAAGAAAGGAGGGCCGGCTGGGCTGGCCGGCCAAGCAGAACTGAGATTATGTCTAGTAGAAGAAATTTGATGTATGCTTGAGCAGGATCACATGGAGCTACCCCACCACAATAAACAAGACAGCAAATTTTGTTGTTGATGACAAACTGTTTCCTGAGCATTTGCTGAAGGTAGACAGAAATGTGTTTAGTTTCAAGTAATGATGCTAACAGAAACTGGAAAGGCTGTATATCAGTCAGGGTTCTCTAAAGAAGAACACACACACACACAGTTTATTAGAATGGCTTATAGGATGTGGTCCAACTAGTCCAACGATGGCTGTCTACCAACAGAAGGTCCAAGAATCTAGTAGTTGTTCAGTCCACAAGGCTGGATGTCTCAGCTAGTCTTCAGTTTATGCCAATCCTGAAGAAGTAGTTTCTGATGCCAGTGAAGGAATGGACTTAACCAGCAAGAGTGAGAGCAGGCAGCCACAGAGAGTAAGCATCCTTGTCTCTATGCAGGCCGCCAGCAGAAGATGTGGGCAGATTAAGGTGAGTCTTCCCACCTCAAGAGATCCTGATTAAAGTGGGTCTTTCCACTACAAATCATTTAGCTGAGGGGGAAAGTCCCTTCCAGGCATACTCAGCGCTTTGGTTTTAGTTAATTCCAGGTGCAGTCAAGTTGACAGCCAAGACTTGCCATCACACTGTGTTTCACACCATCAAGTATACTCATTTCAGATGCAGATGTGTGCTTTCTCTTTGACCATAGGCTTCCTGATAAAACAATCTTACAACTCTTATGAATTACCCAAGAAATGCATTTATCTGTGTCCAAACCAGAAGTGGGGGTCTGGGTCTAGCCCAGGTTCCCTATCATATTCAGAGTCCTGGGATCAAGGCATGAGCCCAGTGTGCTGGTGGATGCCCAAAATCTAGAAAGGAGGACCAGAAGCCCAGGTCACCCTCAGCTACAATAGTGGGACAGCCTTGGATGCACAAGACCCTGCCTGAAAGTAAGGCACATGAATGACCCAGTAATGGTGACAGTAGAATAAATATGTGCCTTGCGTAATCACTAAAATAGTTAAGTGTATCATTTCACACTGTTGTTACACATTTTATTTATAGACAATTGTGAGAAAGCCAACTGCATATTCTGTATTGCATTATGGATAGCTCTCCATCTCATCAAATATACAGGTGTAGCAATCTGCATGACCACAATGGCATTTCACAACACAGAATAGTTCTAGAAACTGAACTCCGAGCATTAGGTTTGGGCAGTCCGGGTTGCAGGAGTTTGGAGGGTTCCCAACATTGCCCGCTCTGTTCTTGACTCACCTGTGCTCCTAAGTCTCTTTCAGACACAGCCCTAGGCATGGCTCTAACCTCCGTTTAGTTATCTTACTTGCCACATTACAACAATTAGAGAAAAGGGGTGAAAAATTAACGTTACAAAGTAACTTGTTTCTATAAGGATTTGTTATTGTCTTTTCAAAATGATGTTAACAGTTCTACTAAAAACGGGCTCTTTCC